TAAACTATATTATTATATGATATATGATTATTATTATATTATAATATAAACTATATTATTAAATTATAGTATAAACTATATTATTATATGATATATGATTATTATTATATTATAATATAAACTATATGATTATTATATTGTTATTTATATATGAATATTATAATATAAACTATATTATTATATGATATATGATTATTATTATATTATATTATAATATAAACTATATATATAATATTATATATGATTATTATATTATAAATTATATTATTATATTATATATGATTATTATTATATTATAATATAAACTATATATAATATAAACTATATGATTATTTTATTATATTGTTATTTATATATGATGATTATATTATAATATAAACTATATTATTATATGATATATGATTATTATTATATTATAATATAAACTATATTATTAAATTATAGTATAAACTATATTATTATATGATATATGATTATTATTATATTATAATATAAACTATATTATTAAATTATAGTATAAACTATATTATTATATGATATATGATTATTATTATATTATAATATAAACTATATTATTAAATTATAGTATAAACTATATTATTATATGATATATGATTATTATTATATTATATAAATATTATATATATATATATTATATATTTAATATAATAATATATATATTATATTATATTATTATTAATATTATATAATTATTGATATTATTATAATTATAAATATATTATTATTGATTATATATATATATATAAAACATATATATATACATATATATATATATATATATTATTATATTATAATATAAACGATATTATTATATTCTAATAAAACTATATTATTATAGTATAAACGATATTATTATATTATACATGGTGATTATTATATTATAATATAAACTATATTATATAATATAAACTATATGATTATAATATTATATTGTTATATAATATATTATTTTATAATAGTTATAATAATATATAATTATATTACATAATAAATATATTATAACAGTATATAATGTATTATGATGTTACATTTATTATATTATATTTTACATATTATTTTATTATTGCATTAAATTATATTATTAATAATAAATTTAATGAATACACTCTAATATTATAATTATTACAATTCTAATAGTATATAATATATTATTGTCTTACGATGTTACATTTCTTACATTTTATTTTACATATTATTTTATTATATAATAAATATAAATAATATTATATTATAATTAAAATAATATTATATTATATTATAATTGGTTATATTTATTCTATTTTATTTTATATATTATTATATTATATTATAAATATAATTATTATAGAATATAATATATTATTATATTATGATGTTACATTTATTATATTTTACATATTATTTTATTATTATATTAAATTATAATTATTATAGTATGTAATATATTATATTATATTAATATACATAATAAATATTATATTATATTATAATAGTATAAATATTATATTATAATACTTACATTATATATTATTTTACATTTTTATTTCATTATATTATTATATTTTATAACAAATATAATAAATATATTATAATTACTATAATTATAAAAGTATATATTGTTATATTATGATGTTACATTTATTATATTTTATTTTACATATTATTTTATCATTATATTATATAGTATATTGTTATATATTAATATAATATTGATTATATCTTATTGAATATTATATATATTATATATTATATTCTATATAATAATACGATATAATATAATAAGATACATATGACAATATAATGTGTTATATATATATATATGTATGTATGTGTGTATATATATATATATATATATATATATATATATATATAATATGCATTTTATTATATTATATCTCATTAATATGAAAAGGCAAGGCATTGATTGCAGTGAAGCTTCACCTGTTGAATGGCAGCCTGTTGCAAGCGAGAGAAATTTTACTGGGAGAAAGCTGACATGTTTATATAACCTGGGAGGAGAAAGATGACAGCCACACAGGCCGATATGCTCCTGGTGGTGTTTTGGTCCCAGCGTGAGCTTCACCTGTTGAACTGCAACCTGTTTGTAACAGGTCTTTTATTAGAGGGATGAAAGGAGCGCTTTTGTCACAGGACGCTTCACCTGTTTAATGACAGCCCTTTTTTAGATGGCCATAAAAATACATAAACTTTATTGTAGAGGGAGGGCAAGGCAGGCGTCCAACAGGTCATGCGGGTTTTCGTAAATAAGTCCCAGCTGGGGAAGCTTTCCCTATTTAACTTCAGCCTGCCGATGGGACCTCAATAGGAGCTTCACCGGTTGGGTGACAGCCTTTTACAGCCTTGGAGATGCCTCGTTTGTTTGATGGCAGCCCTCTTTTTTTAGATACGGAAAACTTTTGAGACTTTGGCAAGGCGGAAATCCAACCGGTGCAGCCGGAAATCGCTTCCCGGTTGAATGGCTGCCTGTAGAGAAAAAGGAAAAGGAGGAAATCCCTCCCATTGAGAAAAATGGGGTGCCAAGAGCCTTGCAGCAGGCAGAAATCCAACAGGTAGAGTCCTCAAAGTGAGAAGGTAGGCGTAAATATATTTAAACACCGACTCGAACCAGGCGGAAATCCAACTGGTGATGTCCATTTCCCCATTCCAGTATATTTCGGGGATATTGCAGGGAAGGACGCAGAGAAGCCCAGCTGCACCAGTTTAATGACAGCCTTGCCATCCAATTGGTTGGCTGGTCCGGTTTAATGGCCGCCTGAGGCAGATGATGCTACTGGAATGCTTAATAGGAGGAATGAGAGAGCGAGTTTGGGCCTCATTCAGGCAGAAATCCAACTGGTGAAGATGACATTTTCAGCCAAGGAGAGAAGATCTGCCCAGTGTGATTCCCACCTTTTTTAGTATAGCCTGAGCTCAGAAGGAGAAAAAGGAGAATAGTTTTGTGCCTTTTGCAGGTAGCAATCCAACAGGTGAAGACTTCCAGTTCCCTTAGTGCTGCACCGGTGTGATTCCTGCCTGATTTGGTCCTGGGCTTAGAAGGAGAGAAAGGAGGGTAGATGTGTGCCTCTTACAGGCACCAATCCAACAGGTGAAGCTTTCCAGTCCCCTTAGTGCTTCACCAGTATGATTCCTGCCTGATTTGGTCCTGGGTTTAGAAAGAGAGAAAGGAGAGATTTATGCCTCTTGCAGGCAGCAATCCAACTGGTGAAGCTTTCCAGTTCCCTTAGTGCTGCACCAGTGTGATTCCTGCCTGATTTAGTCCTTTTTTAGTATAGCCTGGGCTCAGAAAGGGGGATAGTTTTGTGCTTCTTGCAGGCAGCAATCCAACTGGTGAAGATTTAAAAAGGAGACTAGTTTTGTGCCTCTTGCAGGCAGCAATCCAACAGGTGAAGCTTTCCAGTCCCCTTAGTGCTTCACCAGTGTGATTCCTGCCTGATTTGGTCCTGGACTTAGAAAGAAAGGAGGATAGATTTGTCCCTCTTGCAGGCAGCAATCCAACAGGTGAAGATTTCCAGTTCCTTTAGTGCTGCACCAGTGAGTTTCCTACCTGATTTAGTCCTGGGTTTAGAAAGAGAGAAAGGAGAATAGATTTATGCCTCTTACAGGCAGCAATCCAGCTGGTGAAGATTTCCAGTCCCCTTAGTGCTGCACCAGTGTGATTCCCGCCTGATTTGGTCCTGGGTTTAGAAAGAGAGAAGGGAGAATAGTTTTGTGCCTCTTGCAGGCAGCAATCCAACAGGTGAAGATTTCCAGTTTTCTTAAGTGCTTCACCAGTGGGATTCCTGCCTGATTTGGTCCTGGTCTTAGAAAGAGAGAAAGGAGAATAGTTTTGTGCCTCTTGCAGGCAGCAATCCAACTGGTGAAGATTCCCAGTCCCCTTAGTGCTTCACCAGTGTGATTCCTGCCTAATTTGGTCCTGGGTTTAGAAAGAGAGAAAGGAGGGTAGATTTATGCCTCTTGCAGGCAGCAACCCAACAGGTGAAGATTCCCAGTCTCCTTAGTGCTGCACCAGTGTGATTCCTGCCTGATTTGGTCCTTTTTTAGCATATCCTGGGCTCAGAAAGAGAGAAAGGAGAGTAGATGTGTGCCTCTTGCAGGCAGCAACCCAACAGGTGAAGATTCCCAGTCTCCTTAGTGCTGCACCAGTGTGATTCCTGCCTGATTTGGTCCTTTTTTAGCATATCCTGGGCTCAGAAAGAGAGAAAGGAGAGTAGATGTGTGCCTCTTACAGGCAGCAACCCAACAGGTGAAGATTCCCAGTCTCCTTAGTGCTGCACCAGTGTGATTCCTGCCTGATTTGGTCCTTTTTTAGCATATCCTGGGCTCAGAAAGAGAGAAAGGAGAGTAGATGTGTGCCTCTTACAGGCAGCAATCCAACTGGTGAAGGTTGCATTCTCATTGGAGGGATAGAGGAACCTTCTTGGAGCTGCACCGGTGTGATTCCTGCCTGATTTGGTCCTTTTTTAGCATATCCTGGGCTCAGAAAGAGAGAAAGGAGAGTAGATGTGTGCCTCTTACAGGCAGCAATCCAACTGGTGAAGGTTGCATTCTCATTGGAGGGATAGAGGAACCTTCTTGGAGCTGCACCGGTGTGATTCCTGCCTGATTTGGTCCTTTTTTAGCATATCCTGGGCTCAGAAAGAGAGAAAGGAGAGTAGATGTGTGCCTCTTACAGGCAGCAATCCAACCGGTGAAGATTTGAAAAGACTAGTTTTGTGCCTCTTGCAGGCAGCAATCCAACTGGTGAAGGTTGCATTCTCATTGGAGGGATAGAGGAACCTTCTTGGAGCTGCACCGGTGTGATTCCTGCCTGATTTGGACCTTTCCCCCTGGGTTTTCAAAGGGAGGAAGAAGAAAACAATTCCCTGATTCAGGCAGAAACCCAACCGGTGAAGAATCCCGGGGAGAGTGGAAAGGAAGGAAACAGCGCCCCTGTCGGCGGCGCGGCGGCACTGCAGGTCCGGCGGCGGCGGCGGGGGGAGCGCCCGGTTCGGGCAGCCGCTGCTCTTCCCTGCTCCGCCCGCCTCCCGCCGCCGCCTCCTCCTCCTCCTTTCCCCCTTGGCGCTGCTCTTCTCCTCCTCCTCCTTCTCCTCCTTCTCTTCTTCCTCCTCTTTGGGAGTGAAGCGGCCGCCTCGCCGCCCCATGGAGGCCCGCCCCGGAGAGAGCCCCCCCGCCAAGCGGCCCCGAGGTAAGGGAGAACGAGGGAGAAGAAGGGGGCAAAGCGGGGTAAACGCGGGGTAGAAGAGCCTTGCCTTCCCCATCCCTGGAGGGAGAACCAGGAGCAGGTTGGGCAGCCCCAGTGCCTCCCTTCACTTCTTCCTCTCTTCCTTTCTGTCCTTCTCTCCTGTCTCCTTTCTTTCTGTACTCTCTTGCTCCTTTTCTTCCTTCTTTCCTTCTTTTCTCCCTCCTTTCTTTCCTTCTTTCTCCTTCTTTTTCTCCCTCTTTCTTTCTTTCCCCCCTTCCTTCCCTTCTTCCCTCCTTCTTTTCCCTCTTTTCTTTCCTTCTTCTCTTCCTTCTTTTCTTCTTTTCCTTCCTTTTTTCCTTCCTTCTTCCCCTTCTTCTTTCTTTTTTCTCCTTCTCCTTCTTCCTTCTATCTTTTCTTCCTTTTCCTTCCTTCTTCCTCCTCTTTCCTTCCTTTTCCTCCCTTCTTCCCTCCCTTCCTTTCTTTTTTCTTTCTTCCTTTCCTTCCTTCTCTTCTTCTTCCTTCTTCCTTCCCTTCTTCTCTTCTTCTTTCTCTTCTTCTTCCTTTTCCCTTCTTTCTTTCCTTCTTTCCTTTTCCTTCCCTTCTTCTTTCCTCTTTCCTTCCTTTTCCTTCCTTCTTCCCTTCTTCTTTCTTTCTTCTTTTTTCCTTCCCTTCTTCATTCTTCCTTCATTTTTCCTTTCCCTTCTTTCTTTTCTTCTTTCCTTTCCTTCCTCTCCCCTCCCTCCTTTCCTTCTTCCCTTCCCTTCTTCTTTCTTATTCTTACCTTTTTCCTTCCCTCCTTTTTCTCCTTTTTCCTTCATCTTCCCTTCCTCCTTCCTTTTCCTTCCTTCCTTTCCTTCCTTTCTTCCTCTTTTCCTTCCCTTCTTTTTCCTTCTCCTTTTTCTTCCTTCTTCCCTTTCTTCCTTTTCTTCCCTTCCTTTCTTCTTCTTTCTGTTCTTCTTTCCTTTTTCCCTTCCTCCTTCCTTCCTTCTTTCTTTTCTTCTTTCCTTTCCTTCCCTTGTCCCTTTCTTTTTCCTTCTTTCCTTCTTCTTTCTTTCTTTTCATTCCCTTCTCCTTTCTTCTTTCCTTTCTTTCCTTCTTTAATTCCTCCTCCCTCCCTTCTTTCCTCCTTTCCTCCTCTTCCATTTTTTCTTCCTTTCTTCTCTTCTTTCTTTTCTCCCTTCCTCCCTCCCTTCTTCCCTTCCCTTCCATAATAATAATAATAATAATAATAATAATAATAATAATGCTTTATTTATAACCGGAGGGGACTCAGGGCAGTTTCGACCCGTCAATCAAAACAGACTCAATCAAACTACAAAATAACAACTTAAATAAACACACATGATACATGATACATTTTTTTCTTCCTTTCCTTCCTTCCTGCCTTCCCTCCTTCATTCATTCCTCTTCTCCTCCCTCCCCCTTCCCTCCCCCTTCCCTTCCTTTTTTCTTCCCTTCCTCCTTCCCTTCCCTCCCTCCCTCCCTCCCTCCTTCTTTTAATTCCTCCTCCTTCCTTCCTTCCTTCCTTCCTTCCTTCCTTCCTTCCTTCCTTCCTTCCTTCCTTCCTCTCTTCATTCACAAATTGGAATAGAAGGGCCGGTGGGCTGTGCAGGTAAGTGGCAGAGTGAGAGGACCTTCCTTTCCTTCATATTTTTCCTTTCCTTTTCTTCCTTCCTTCCTTCCTTCCTGGAGAGAGTGAGAGGGACAAGAGGCAAATGGAGTGGGATTTTCAGGGCAGTTTGCAAGGTAAAGACCCTTCCTTCTTTTTCCTTTCTTCCTTTCCTCTCTTCCTTCCATCCTTTCTTTTCCTGTCTTCCTCCTTCCTTTCTTCCATTTGCTCTCTTCCTTCCCTCGCTTCCTTTTTCCTTCTTTTTCCTTTTTTCCTTCCCTCTCTTCCTTCCTTCCCTTCCCTTTCTTCCTTCTCTCTCTTCCTCCCTTACTTCCTTTTACATACCTTCCTTCCATCTCTTCCTTCCTTACTTTCTTTTCCATTCTTCCTCACATCTCTCCCTTCCTTCCTTTTCCTGTCTTTCCTTTCCTTCCTTCCTTTTCCTTTCCTCCTTCTCTCTCTTCCTCCCTTACTTCCTTTTTCATTCTTCTTTCCATCTCTTCCTTCTTTCATTCCTTTTCCTGTCTTCCTTCTCTCTCCCTTCCTTTTCCTTTCTTCCTTCCCTCTTCCTTCTTTCCTTTTCCTGTCTCCCCCCTCCCTCCCTTCCTTTCTTCCATTCCCTTTCTTCCTTCACTCTCCCTTCCTTCCTTTTACTTCCTTCCTTCCCTCTCATCCTTCTTTCCTTCCTTTTCCTAGCTTCTCTCGCTCTCTCCCTCCCTCCCTTCCTTCCTTCCTCCCTTCCTTCCTTTTCCTTCCTTCCTTTCCTCTCTTCCTTCTTTCCTTCCTTACTTCCCCTGCTGGGATAAGACCAGAGGCAGACAGGGTGGGATTTTCAGAGGAGCTTTCAAAGTAAAGATCCTTCCTTCCTTCCTTCCTTCCTTCCTTCCTTCCTTCCTTCCTTCCTTCTTTCCAGAAGCGTTCACTAAACCCAAATTTAGGGTGAGGGGGACCCCCAAAAGAGTTGCGAAAGGAGGAAAGGTATGGGAAGAAGGGCAATGAGAGAGGTCAGGAGGGGACTCAAAGTTGGAAGGGGACCCAGAAGGTCATCTAGTCTGACCCCGCTTTGTCGTTGTTTCTTTATGGGGAGGAAATGGCCGGGGATTTTGGGACGTATAGTCTTACTCAACGGTCAGTATCTGAAACTTTGCTTTTGTCCAATTTACAAACTTGGGGGAAAGTGCTTTGTTTGTTTTTGGACTACAACTCCCAGCATCCACCTTGGTGCTCCGGGAATAATGGCCCCAAGAGGGGGAACTTTTGCCATGCTCTGGAATCCTCTCACTATATTCTCCCATCCAATATTAACTCTTTAGGTTGTGTGACCGAAAAGAGGGAACTTTTGCCATGCTCTGGAGCTCTCTTGCTATGCTTTCCCATCTCGGATCGGCTCTTTGGCCTTTGTGGTTCCAAAAAGGGCACTTTTGCCATGCTCTGGAGCCCTCTTGCTTCCCCAAAGGGATGGATTTGGAGGATGGATACCCTCCTCTTCCTATTCCCTGATCAGGCTTGTTGACAAAACCATTTCGATGGGCCGAAAGCCGCAATTAAGTCATTTGCATGGTGGTTGCGGCAGAAAGGAATCAGAAGATGGTATCTCTCTCTCTCTCTCTCTCTCTCTCTCTCTCCTGCTTTCTCTCTCTCTCTCTTTCTCTCTCTGAAGCTGGCAAACGCGGCCGGGCCAGTTTCTCGGAGTGGCCGGTTTCGTTCCCGGCGTCGCCTCCTTCGCCTAATCACCGCCTTTGGCCGGGCAGTCACTCCAAATCCAAAACCAAGCAGCAAGTCCACATTAAGTCTCTTCCATCCCAGTTCCCATCTCCTTTTAGTGCAATGCAATGGTCACCCTGAGCACATGCAATGCAATGGTAACTGAGCATATACAGAGTGCACATAGTGCAGTGCAATGGTAACCCTGAACACATGCAATACAATGGTAACTGAGCATATGCAGAGTGCACATAGTGCAGTGCAATGGTAACTGAGCATATGCTGAGTGCACATAGTGCAATGCCATGGTAACCCCGAGCATATGTAATGCAATGGTAGCTGAGCATATGCAGAGTGCACATAGTGAAATGCAATGGTAACCCTGAGCATATCCAGAGTGCACATAGTGCGGTGCAATGGTAACCCTGAGCACATGAAATGCAGTGGTAACTGAGCATATGCACTGCAATGGTAACTGAGCATATACAGAGTGCACGTAGTGCAATGCAATGGTAACCCTGAGCACATGCACTGCAATGGTAACTGAGCATATGCAGAGTGCATTTAGTGCAATGCAATGGTAATCCTGAGCACATGTGCTGCAGTGGTAACTGAGCGTATGCAGAGTGTACATAGTGCAAAGCAATGGTAACCCTGAGCACATGCGCTGCAATGGTAACTGAGTATATGCAGAGTGCACATAGTGCAATGCAATGTTAACCCTGAGCACATGCACTGCAGTGGTAACTGAGCATATGCAGAGTGCACATAGTGCAATGCAATGGTAACCTAGAGCACATATAATGCAGTGGTAACTGAGCATATACAGAGTGCACATAGTGCAATTTGATGGTAACTGAGCAAATGCAGAGTGCACATAGTGCAGTGCAATGGTAACCCTGAGCTCATGCAATACAATACTAACTGAGCATATGCAGAGTGCACATAGTGCAATACAATAGTAACTGAGCATATGCAGAGTGCACATAGTGCAGTGCAATGGTAACCCTGACCACATGCAATACAATAGTAACTGAGCATATGCAGAGTGCACATAGTCCAATGCAATGGTAGCTGAGCATAGGCAGAGTCCACATAGTGCAATGCAATGTTAACCCTGAGCACATGCACTGCAGTGGTAACTGAGCATATGCAGAGTGCACATAGTGCAGTGCAATGGTAACCTAGAGCACATATAACGCAGTGGTAACTGAGCATATGCAGAGTGCACATAGTGCAATGCAACGGTAACCCTGAGCACATGCACTGCAATGGTAACATGCGAAGTCCCAGTTTCTCCCTCTGCCTTTGCCCTCCATTAAGGCAAACGACCGTCCTGATGGATACGGTTCCCGCTCCGTCTTTTCTTCCTTTTGCAACTTTCTCAATCCTTGTGTTTACATATCCAAGACTATATTTGCATAGTGTAAACATCATTGCATATGGCAACCCTATCACAGGGTTTGGCTTGGCCTTTGAAGCTGAGAGAGTGTTGCCCAGCAGGGATTCAAACCCTGGCCTTCTTAGTCTAATGTGCAACCAAGAGCTTATGTGTATATGTATCCATATATGTATATTTGCATGTTTATATTTGCATGCTCCCACCACTCAAGATACACCCATGACCCTCCCTCCAATGACATTGCAGGTTATAGCGAGCACTATAAACATATTCAAGAGCCCCGCCAAT